TGCATTTTCTTTTTAGGAAGATCACACAATTCCTATAAATCTTTTATACCAGAAAGTATTATTCTCATTGTTCTTATTTGTCATATTTGTGTACATTTACCTAGAGAGAAAAACAGCTACCTTTTATGCCTGGTGTTAATGTGTCACTAGTAAGCTGCAAAGAAGTCAAATCTTAAGAGAATGTCTGGAAACACACAGTGAGATTGCTGGGCCCACTTTCAATTTCATTTTTATCTCAGTTTTCTTACATGTTTCAATTTTGGGGAAAGTCATTCAAGGCTATTATGTTGCAGGAAATAAATATGTAGGAAGTATATAAAGTTTATTTTTCCAGGTTCTGTGCAATTTATGTGCTTCATAGAATCCATAAATTAGAATTGACTTCACTCGGTAATTCTTATTATTGTTTTTATTTATTAGAGACCACCCGACAAACACAAAACAAAATAAAACCATTAACATGAGAAAAATATTCTTTTTCTCTGAAGTAAAACATTTGGTCATCCCCATGCATGGAATTTAAGCAATTATTCAAAATAACTTTGAAAAGAGGATTTTCTCAAACTTCCGAGATTTGAATATGAGTGATTAAAAGAGTATCAATCAAAACAGAGGGAAATGGATAGTTGGGCATAAAATAAGCTGAGAAAAGGAGATTCAAAAATAAATGCTAACAGGGCAGATTCAAGTTCTATTTAGTGGACAAAACTTAATCAAGGTGTCCTAGAATTTAATTCTTATAACACAGACATTCCTACTGTGGAAACTAACCATTGGGCTCTCCTGGCACAGATATTCCACTCATCCAATCACCTTCATCCTGGTTCCATGATGAATTGGTTTTGCCTTTAGCAAACCCTGCAGAGGGATTAGAATAGAAGTTGAAGATAAACCATGGAGGTTCTTAAAATCTAGTGGATGGGACTAAGTGGCGGTTTGAGTCTGAAAAGCCCACCATAAATTTAAATCTAGTGATATAGATTGCTTTCACCTCACCAGAATCCACAAGCTAATACACCTTTGTTCAATCAAAGTATCACATTATTGCCAATAAATAAAAATGATACCTAATATAATCAAATAGAGAATATGTAGAAAGCCTGGAATCCAGAAGATCTATACAATGCTCATTAAAATAATGGGAGGAAAAAAAAAACTTCTCAGAAGGAAGGAGTTTGAGATTTTTGCCCAATGACTCTTTTGGCAACATAGAACTATTCTCTGGGTTGGTAAAAGAAGGGTGAAGTTCAAAGTGAAGATGATGCCAGTCCACTAGTAAGGGTGTGAGAGCTGTGGGGATCTCTGGTCTAAATTTTTAAAAAAATAACTTACACAGGATGACAACCATATCTATATAACCTGTCATGGTTCCTAGAAAACATTAGCCTCAGCAAATATTAATTGAATGAATAAGTCCTGAGCAAGTTGTGAAACAGCTCATGTGAAAAAAATAATAATAATAATAATTGTGTTGACGTTGTAAGTTCATGATGAGGTTTAAATGAGTTAGTTGCTACACAATGATTACGTGTCTGGCAAATAGTAAACTCTTACTAAGTGAGTTAAATTAAGACCAATGGATTACAATTTGTGACATTTGGGAATTTGAGGAGTAAAGAGGAGTCAAGATCTGAACTGTTTCCATTTCCCCCATACTTACCCCATAGGTAATTTCAATAAAGGCATAGATTAGTCTCTATTTTTGCAAAATCTCAACAACAACAAAAAATCCCCAAATTGCTTTTATGATTTAATAAAATATTTGAATATATATTTAAATGTCTGAATATATACATATTATCCTTGCTTCCTTAGAGAATGTTGACTAATTATTAGAAATTAAACTATTGGGTAACTTTCACATAAATGCAAACTTAAAGTCAAATTTCACTTCCCCTTCTTAATTTATTTACATGTTTGAAACTGTAGAGGGTTTGATATATGATATTTTTTTATAGACACAGATTTTAAATTTCTAATCCACATAACTTTTAACCATTATAATCAATATTATGAACTTCTACTTAATCTACTGATCATGTAATTGTGCTATAAAATAAAAATTTTGGAGACCATGAGAACCTGAAATAAAAGGATTGATTGAAACAACAAATTTCTTAAGTCACAAGCAGCATAGCTGGGTAGCAGCTGAAAAAAAAATGTTCACTGGGTCTAAGAAGCCAACATATTTTATAATGAAAAATTGGGTAAAAGAAGGCATGCATTGATTATACTGAACCTGCATTGACCAGAGATAACAGTGGAGACAATGTGAACTGGGCACAGTTTTAGGTTAGGAGGAGAGTTTGTAAAGAGAAACACCTGTCTCTTGGCTGGTTGGGGCTATAAGTAAATGAGAATGACACCTTGATGATCCTCCTGGAGTTCTGAATCAAAGGTTTCAATATATGCATAAGGAGTTGCCATAGATTTTTGTTTTTATTTTTATTCTTTTTCTCTCTTTTTGATTGGCACAAAGCCACTAGCTGAATTGCTTCTCTTATCCCCTCCTCTCCTGTATCCTCTAACCTGTAACTAAATTTAGAACATCTCAAGTTTTCCCTCTTTTATCAGTAAATATATACATGTGTGTGAGTATGTATTTTTGGTATTCTATATATCTATTCTCTACTTGGTTTCTATGGGAAATGTGCTGTATAATGTATAGTTCTTTTGATTATCTCTAGTAAGTCAGCTGGTTGGTATTTATTATCACAAGTAGAGTTATTTTCTTTGAAGATGGTATATCTTAGATGCTTTCCAGTAATTAATAGTTTGGTTTTAACCTGGTACAACATCCCTGTAACTTATTTGTTTGCCCCTGGTCTCTTCTTCATCAAATTGATCTTCTGTATTCAGTTCAAAGTGATAACAACACACACACAAGGCAAATTTCATACCTAAGACCTCCCACAGTCCCCTACTGATGATGATATAAAATCCAAATTCTCATAAAGGTGCAGTTAAACTATTGGTAGCCAAATGTGTCCAGCATACTCCTCTGTCCTCAAATTCTTTGCTCTTGCTCTTGCTCTTCTCCTGCCTTTGCATGGAACATTCTTCCCCAGACATCTGATGAGCCTAATCCTTCATCTCCTATTTGGTTTCTCCACATCTGTCACCTTCCATACTTAATGGTCACTCCATTTCTAGTAACAGCCCTACCCTCTCTGTCCTATGGGGATATTTTAAGTTCGTTTCCAAACACAAGAACAACCATCACCATCTCCACAGGATTAGGAACTTCCTGTTGCTAAACCTTTGGTGTCTGACATATAATAAGTGCCCTATAAGTATTTTTTCATGAATGAGTAAATGATAATTATCTCAATGTTTTTACTTTGATCTTTTTCTAAATATATAAACTACTTTTGACCCCCCAAACATGATAAATTCTCTCATGCTTTGATGACATGCATGTGTTTTGTGTAAAATTTTCTGCCTCTATTCCATTAACATGGATTCTATTAATTTGTTTAGAAGGAATTTATTGCATGTCTGTGATGTATCAGGCATGGTGCCAAGGCACTGAAAATAAAGCAGTTTTATATCATAGTAGTCCCTGCCATTATGGGGCTGCTATTCTATTAGGGAAATGACAGATATCAAATGTGAAAAAATTATTTTACAAAGTTAATTATTGATTATGATGACTATTATAAAGGAAAGAGAGTAAGGCCATATATAGCAAATAGATAGGGGGGGTGAAGAGAGATACAATTTGTATGGCCTTTCAGAAAGCCTCCTTTATGGAGGAAACAGACTAAGGCCTGAAAGTTGTGAAAGAAAGGGTCACATAAGAAGAAAGAAATCCCTGTGACGGGAAGAAGAGACAAAGCATGCAAAAGCTCAAAGACAGCAAAAACATAGCCCCGTGATTAGACAGTATTAAGGACAAGAAAGTGAAAGGAAATAGGCTTGGAAAGGAGAGCAGGAACCAGAACAACTGAAGTCAATCATCACAAGTTCGTCATCTGTTTCAAGGGAAAGAAACCCATGGAAAGATTTTAAGTGGAAAACTGGTATGATAAGGAATTTGTTAAATTCCCTAAAATATCAAATTAGATACACTGAAACAAAATTCTGGGTGCTGTGGGAACCAGTTTGAGGGCCATAAGAGTGGAAACAGAGACCAGTTAGACACTTTGAAGGGGTCCTGGTGAGAAATGTTGTTGACTTGCACCAGAAGAGAGGAGTTGGAAAGAAATGGATGAATTAGGTAGTGCATTTTGGATATGTAGTATTTGGGGGAAAGGGAGGAATTTAAGGGTAATTACTGTTGCATTTCCCTGTCTATGATTCTGCCTTTTACCAAAATGTAGAAGTACAGGGAAGATAAAATTTTCAAACTCCTTCTGTAAGTTTCATGATCCCTCAAGCTGACTTAACTCTTCCTCAGTGCTGACATGTTCCCATGTATTGAATATTTATTACATAATATTATAACAACTTGCTTACTTTTCCCTCTGTGAGATGGCAAATTCTTTGAATATAGTGACAACTTCTGTTCATATTTGTGTAAGCAGAGGTAGCACAGTGTCTAGTCCATAGGATGCAAATAATTGCTTGTAGGAAGGACTAAGAAATCAGGCAAGAATCATGGCAACAACACTCTAGAGGCGCCCTATCTTTCTGCACTTTCTGTTCTTTCTAGAGAATATATATATATAAAGTTTGGCCAAATCTTTTAAGACTAGTACTTTTTTTTTCATTAAAACTAAACTTCCTTTAAATTTTCCACTACTCAGTGTCAAAATTATTTTACTCTACTCTGTATAGAGATAGAAGACAACAACAAGAAAAAAAAAAGATGAACTTTTACTTTTTTTGCTGTCTTTGAGTTGCAAGTAGACCAAATAAGTTACATTTTATAATCCATAAAAATCAAAAGAATACATTTCAAGACTGTAGGAACATCCACTTATAACTATGTTAACCTTTTGCAAATTTTGGAAGATCTTTGCAAGATTCATTATTCATTTGATTTTTTTTTTTTAAAGAATGTTTGATGTAGGTGGACAGAGATCAGAGAGAAAGAAATGGATTCACTGCTTTGAAGGAGTTACGTGCATTATATTTTGTGCTGCTCTCAGTGCCTATGACATGGTCCTAGTAGAAGATGAAGAAGTGGTAAGTCTGAATGGAAAACAAGACCAAGGTAAATTACAAACCCTTTCATATTGTTCAATAGTGCTATGGCATTTCCCAACTCAATGAAAGCCTTCCAAGATAAATATCACTTCTAGATCCTTGTTTAGGATGCCCAACTGTCACATTTTGCAAATAATAATGCTACACATTCTTGTCTTTCATACCTAACAGAACAGAATGCATGAAAGTCTTCACTTGTTCAACAGTATCTGTAATCACAAGTACTTTGCAACCACCTCCATTGTCCTCTTTCTCAATAAAAAAGACCTCTTTCAAGAAAAGGTCAACAAGGTGCATCTTAGCATTTGCTTTCCAGAATATACTGGTAAGATTTTTTTTCCTTTCGTTCCATAGCTATAAGTTGTTATATAGATGTATATTTTCCTGTCTGAATCTTGACATTTAATATTTATGAGGATGAAGCTGATCATTGTAATTTAGTCATGTCTATGATCCAAACTGAAAAGAATCTTACAAATAAAAAGTCATCTTCTCATAAAATTATGGCATTTGCAGGTAAATGGATGGGACTAGAAAATATCATGCTAAGTGAAATAAGCCAATCCCCCAAAATGAAAAGCCTAATGTTTTCATTGATAAGTAGATGCTGATCCATAGTGGGGTGGAGGGATAGGGGAGAATGAAGAAACTTTGGTTTGTATAGGAGGGAGAGGGAGGGGAGGGATTGTAGAGATGAGAAAGAAGGTAGAATGAGACAGACATTATTATCCTATATACATGTATGTTTACACTACTGGAATGACTCTGCACCATGTACAGTCAGAGGAATGAGAAGTTATGCTCTATTTGTGTACAATATATCAAAATGCATCCTACTGTAAAATAAATAAATAAATGGATTTTAAAAGAAACAGATTGTTGGTCAATGAAAAGACCATTTAAGGAGAAAAAAAAAGTCATCTTTTCCATACTATTTAAAATATATACCCACTGAACAAACTGGAAAATTTTAGATGAGAGTCACATTTAGTACATCAATGACACTTCAAACTTTTTTCTTCAACATAATGGGATGCAACTTTTATTTCAGATGGGCATTTTAAACATACATACTAATGAAAACAAGAAATGCTATGTTAGATCGTAGTGACTCTTCAATGTCTGAATTGTTCCAGGCAAATAGCATCAATGAATTTGAAAATAGTGGCATCTTTGCCTTTTCTGGTTTCTGTAGGTCCCAGAATTCTATAGTCAATCTTGTTAGTCAGTGACTATAAAGATCAAGTTCCATAAAAGTGTTTTTTCAAATTCAAATGCAACTTCCTGTTTTGTAAACAGCTGAAAGCCTTGTTGATGCCTTGACTGATGGATGATTGATATGGATACATTATTATCTAAAGTCCAAAGTTTAATCAGGGTTCACTCTTTGTGGTGTTCTATGATCTATGTGTTTTGCCACATGCATACCATATATCTATCTGGGTTAGTAAGCATTCTGTTACTATAGCAAATGTCTGAGTTCAATCAACTTAGGAAAAAAATTATTTATTTTATTTTATGGTTTTGAGATTTCAATTCTTGGTTGGTTAGCCTGTTGCTTTGGATGAAGCAGTAAATCATGGCGATAATGTGTGGCAGAAGAAGCCTGTTCACCTCATCATGGCTGAGAAGGAAGAAAGATCCCACAATCCCCTTTGAGGGCTCACCTTCACTGACTAGAATGTCCCCCAAAGACCTCAACTCTTAGAATTCCTACCGCCTCTCAATTATGCCAAGCTGCGTACAAAGCCTTTAACACAGGCCTCTGGGGGACATTGTTGATCCAAACCAGAACATGATTATCATATTACACACAACAGTTTTGGTGGTAAAAAATCTCCTGGGTCCCACCTATTTATGCCATCCTCCTGCCCTTCAACTGGTAGAAACCACTGATCTTTTTACTCTTTTATAGTTTCACTTTTTCCAGAATATCATAAACCTCAAGTCACATGATATGTAGAATTTTTTGACTGGCTTATTTGCCTTAGCAATATGCACGTGAGTTTTCTCCAAGTTTTATTTTATTGACAGAGAGTTCTTTTTTTTAAATTCCCAAATAATATTGCAATCCATAAACAAACCACAATTTGCTTATCCTTTCACTTATTAATGAATAATTTGGTTGCTTTCAAGTTTTAGCAATTATGAAAAATTTGTGATAAACGTCCATGTGCAGGATTTTATACGGACATATTTTTAGGAAGCCACATAGAAGCACAATTGCCAGACTGCATGGTAAGACTATAGTTAGCTGTGTGAGAAATTGCCAACTGCCCTCCATTTTGCATTCCCACCAGCAGTGAATGAAGTTTCCTGTGATTATACATGCTCATCAGCTTTGATTCTGCCAGTGTTTGGGATTTTAGCCATGTTTTATGGCTTTGTTTTTATATCCTATCTTCATACAAATCTTTATTTTTTATATCCTATCTTCATACAAATCTTTATTTTTTATATCTTATCTTCATACAAACCCAGGGCCTTATTCATGCTAGGTATGCACTCTACCACTGAGCTACTCCCTGACCCAGCCATGTTATTTGGTTTTAAAGATTGTCTCTCATAAATTTTTGCTCCAGGTAACAAAGACAGGGAGAACTAAACCTTATTTCCTTGGGAAATTATTATGGTCCTTCCTATGTCAAGTCTTCTCAAAGCACATTTGGTTTATAAAACCAATTAATATGCCACTTTATGCTGACCTGTATTGTCTGCTAACCTATTTTATTTCTCATTTTCTCAAGTGACCTATGGTATGTCCTAATAGTAAGGTTTCTCATACACAGTTTTCCTCATGTTATTGCTCAGTGAAAACATCAGTCCAGAGACTTCTTTATAACCTTCCATGTTCTCATCTTGGTTTGATTAGAAACAGCCTATGATCTGGCCTATATCATCTATTCAACTTGATTACTTCAATTCCTCCACAATTTGCTTCTTCAACTCTTCATTCATTTCCTAACTCTACCCTCAAGGCTAGAGGTACAGGCACTCTCACTTGCACTGTTCAGTTTCATTCATCCTTTTCTCTTCTCCCTTCTAAACTCTCTGTCAAGGTCCAACTCAAGTAAGACCTCCTTCTTCAGCCTCATCATCTAACATTTCCATTCACTTTTTTAGTTTGTATTAAAACACATGCACATCCACAGGAACACCAACTCACAGCATTTGATGTATATACAGGTTTGCTTTGCTCACTTGCTTTGAAATATGTTGGTATTTCTACTGTATTGTGAGCTTTTTCGTACAGATTCTATTTTATCCTCTTGATTTCCCCCTGTGGGAAGCACAGTTATAGCACCAAGTACAAGTTGCACAAATCTCTGGTGATTTACCCTTCCTATTTTAATTTTTCAATACATGGTATATCAAATAGCAGCACACAAAGTAAAAACTTAATAGGTACTAGTATTATTTACATTTTATCCTTTGTGACATACAATTAATACTTACTTGCTTTTTGTTTAACTAGGGCCAAATACATTTGAAGATGCAGGGAACTACATCAAGAATCAGTTTCTAGACCTGAATTTAAAAAAAGAAGATAAGGAAATTTATTCCCACATGACTTGTGCTACTGATACCCAGAATGTCAAGTTTGTGTTTGATGCAGTTACAGATATAATAATCAAAGAGAATCTGAAAGACTGTGGGCTTTTCTAATCAATCCTTTTTTTACTACTTTTGCTGTGTACTCTTTTCAAGACATATGTGTATAAAAGGTGCTATGTGATTACTTTGAATATATATTAGCTTATCTAAAAATATAGCTAGAATTATAAAGCTAACATTTTTCACGCATAAAAATTGAATGCATCATCACCTATACTTGGTAAGTTTCAATTTCTCTGTAACATGGAGAATAGAAATTCTGATCCACAGGTCTAAAAAATGACATATTTGGTGACTATAAGAGTACATATTAGTGACACTGAATTTTCTTAGAAATAAACTTCTGAAAATGGCCTATTTTAAAATAGAGTAATAAAAAATGCAGAGTATTTCATATCATTTCCATTGGCCAGATTTTTAAAGGCATTCACTTTTTTTGATAATATAACTGGGCCAATATAACAGAGACTGTTCAAAAATGGTACAAAGTATTTTGTTGGTTAATTGTACCTAGTTTAGCAGCTGCAGATGAAGCATTCACTATACATATTCTTGTTGATGGGCAATTATATATGAAAAATAATTAAGTGCAATTATTTTTTTCCTTAAAAATCACTGTTGCCCAATTATGTTTAGACTTGAAAATTTCAATAACGTCTATCTACATAGTTCTGGTTAAGAAAGGGAAAAATATATAATTAAACACACAATGTAAGCTTTGTAGCCTAAAGGTCTTCAGTAGAGTACCCATTCCCCAAATCTTATTACAAAATGGCATGGAACATCTTTACAGTTGATGACCACATGGGGTTTGGGATAACAATACTAAACCACAAGAGAAAATGAAAAAAAAAAAAAAGTTCTTAGCCTAGTGTATTTTGAGTTTTGTGAATATGAGTAGCAAGTAGGAACAAACAGAAGATTTTTAAAAGAAATGCTGACTTTCTCTGTTAGTTCTAAACGGTACACTCTAAATAGTATATTGTACCCTAATGGTCAAACTCCACTTTCTCAAAGCTAAATTGTTGTCTTACAAACTAAATTGCTTTATTTGTGAAGAAAAAAATGGTGAATTTCTTTTATTTTTAAAAGTGTCTACCATTTATAAACTATACTCAAAACATCTTTCAATATCATTTATCCTACAATTGTAAAAAGTAATATATAAGTTAGACTATTAAGTCAAGCATAAGATTTATAATGTTTCTTTAAAGAGAATTAATTAGATTTTTATAAGGTGAGATTCAGGGAACATAAATTAAGCAATTTGCCGATCTACAGTTCAGGTGAATTTTAATAGCTCTGTCTTTTGATGTAGCTACTTCATTGTTGGGTAACACATTTCCATTCTACACACGTAAGAATGATTATAACTCAATAAATAATTTTGACTAGCATGTCCGTGGCTTTAAAAAAAAAAAAACATACACACAAAGGAAGTAACATACACAGAGTCAAAGGAAATAACACACACAAATAAAAAATAAACTATTAAAAATAAAATTGAAATTCTTTTGCAGAATATAAATTATTATTAAGGAGTCTAAGCTATCAAGCACAAAAATCCTAGAACAGTCATTTTGATCAGACAGTCAATAAAGTTTTCTGGCTAGGAACCAATATCTATACAAGAGCATGTCATAACTTCCTTAGTAGATATTCCATACTGTGAAATTTTAAATTAATACTACAAATATTATAATCTCATCCATTGTTATTTTGGTCTCCTACCACTCTTTTTAAACCTATTTATCTTTAGTGTGAGAAAAATTTTCCAGAAATGAAAAAGTATATTATTTGAAACATTAATATTATTGCTACTTAGACTTTTAATTCTGATTATCATTATGTTTCTCTTTTAGATAGAAATAGTAGGGTGAAAAATGATTCAACTTTTGCTTTAAAAATACAGAACTCATTTTGATCTGTGTAAAAAGTGACAGTCATCAATTTGTTCATGAATTATTATCATCTAAGGGCTTTTAAAATAACATTAAAGGACCAAATTAAAAATGAAAGTTAATTTAAAATTTAAATTTCTTCCAATCCTATGGTTGAACTCAAAAAACTTTTCTTGACTGCTAACCAATATATTTTAATTAAGGAGAAATATTTTTTGGTGATGAAAAAATTAAGGTTTATATTATATTATGATTGCATTCTTTAAAATTAAATCTACATTTTGTTTTACTTTTTGAGTTTTTATTATAAGAATTTGGAATCGATGTACAGTATTTGGGGCTCAGAGGTAGTAACATAATGAAAATATGAAAAGTGTTGCTTTCACCTACAGAAATGCCCACTGAGAGCAGCAACGTTAAGGTTGGTTAAGATTTAAATACTCATTTCAATTGAAAATTCAGTCTCCTAACCATACAGTCTGTGCCTTGGGTGTGAAGCATCCCAAAGCAGCCTTGGGTCTTCGCTGCTTCATTCCATGTTCAAACAAATGAAAGACATACAAACAAACAAACAAACAAAAAGAAATGCCCCTCAAACACATTCTAGCATTATTCTGATACTTTCCTCTTCAGCTCAAGATTTATTTTCCTGAATTAAAATATTCCCCAGTCCTGCTTGCCTTAGACCCGTAATACAATCAACTCAATCATTTCCAAGATTTGTCCAGTGCAGACACACTGCACTATTTCAGGGATCTGATGTGGGCTTACACAACAGGGTCATTAAGAATTAGCTCTTCCAGAAGCATGAACTGGCTGACAGACAAGACTCTGTATCATGGGATTAATGACTAAAGTTATAAATGAAGATGATTAACTGGGCAATTATACCTTTTTGTCAAAATATCATGAAAATTGTCAATTCTACAAAGAAATTCTGTGGACAAGAGATTTTGAATTCTTTAGGATCACTAATATTTATTATAAATATCCAGTATCTTATGGATTAAAAAATTTAGAAATAAATTAGTCTTCATGTACATCATATATGTGAACAAACAAGTTGTTCAGATCATGGGCCTGCCCTAGAACAAAAATTCTTACCTCATGCATCATTCAGTTTAACCACAAAATGTACTTTAAAACACTTGTGCAGAAGTTCTCAAGTTTTATTCAACCAAAACCACATTTGTGAGGAAAAATAAATCTTTGTTTCTGATTAGTGGATCTTTACATTTTCCAAATCAGAGGTAGATACACAGGTTAAATGTTTGATGGTTGAACATAAAAAAATATTTGTAAGAATGATGGAAGAACTTATGGATTCTGTAACTTACATTAATTTTTAAAAATAGGAGACAACACTTCACTATGGATGTTCTAGTAAATTCTTATTGGAAAATGTAACCAATTTAAGCCCTTTTTCCATTAATGCTTTTTCTGACAGTCTTACAAACTAATCTATAGCCACATGGGGGCACACTTACTTCATGTGTTTTCAACCCAGTTGTTACAAACATGAGTTTGGATTACCAGTAACTTTAATGGAACAAAGAATAAGATCTTCTTAAGAATCATAATTCATTTTGTGCTTCTAGCTCAGTAGTATATAATAATCTGATAATCATAATATGCAATATTTTACTCAAATTCATGAATAACAAAGCTACTTCAAACAGCTCCAAATTTGTAGTGTTTTACAGATACATAGTCTCTGTTCTTGGTCTATTTCTTGTCATTTTCAAACTGTTGCTTAAATGTAAAAAATCATTAATTTTGTAAAATGTGTCTTTCCATTAATCTGTATTGTGTTTCAAATCCTGATTAGCTCACAGTGTAAAGTAGAAGAAAAATAATTGAATGTCTGACAACTACTGTGTTTTGCAAGTTGCAATCAGTTGCCTACTTATTAATGTGTGTCCTTTCAGTAAATCAAAGTAAAATTCCATTCTACTAAAGCATGAACCATTCTATTATTCTGTTCATTACGACTTTTCCTCAACCACCACTCCACCAAATCAAGAGGAAAATGAGTGCTCTGTGACATTTGCTTTTACCACCACTAACACATTTTGCATTCATAATAGCACCATTTTTATTTCAAGCCACATTTGTCACACACTGGTTAAGTAATAAATAGAGTTGCATTAAATAAAGGGGAAATAAAAAAGCTCAATTCACATCATAAAAACAGTAATGGTCCTCTAATTATTATACCTTCAGATAAGAAGTAATTTGTGAGACATAATGCCAAACAATTATTTTACTTGGAAGACATTTATATTTCCTAAAATGGTCAAATCGAAACAAATCAAGCACACATATGATTAAAAATATTTTTCTAATGTATACTACTGCAAATTTTCTCTTCTGAAAAAAAATGGTCAAATATTAAGTGCCATTATAACATCAAGGACAGTGGAGAATATTTTAATGCATGAAGATCCTTACCCTGGAGGAACAACATAGATGATTGTACTTAGAGTTAGTAGAAGAGTTTATCATGAAAAGTACTCCATCCAGAAATCCAGAGGAAAAAATAATCTATGCTACACACACACACACACACACACACACACACACACACACACACACACACACATATATATATACTGGGGTGGTGGTTCTGGGGTTGAACCCAGGGCCTTCTGCATGCAAGGCAAGCACTCTACCAACTAAGCTATATCCACAGCCCCTACACATTTCTCTTATTCAACTAAAAATTTGAATATTTTATTCCATTTAAAAACATTGATATCAAAGTGCATATTTATATAAAGCACAGTGTATGTGAAATGATTTACCAGCAAATAAACAATTTTATTTCCCTTAGTGTCAATGTCTGTCAACTCACAGTGAGTTCACAAATGCTTCGTCTATCCTCAAGTAAAAAAACAATAACAACCAGACATCTTTATTCACATATGTGATGTACACTCCACTGATACCTACAGCAGTTGGTTTAATGATCTCCACTCTTTAAAAAGAAGGTAGAATATTTTAATATAAAAATGTATATATAAACCATTTACATTACATAAAAACAGACACAGAGGCTTACTCTTTTCCATAATTCTGTTCCTTCTAAATATGAAATGAAGTACTGAGAGAGGTTCAGGACTTCAGTCAAAACATGCCACCTTGGTATTTGAGAAAACAGCAGAAGCAAGAAGCTGTGACCTTCTCCCACCATGCTCTTCTGAGCCATTAAGGAATTCTCTGATGTCCCCTAAAGTAGGTCACAAGACCCTCCTTCCAGGGGGTCCTTCTAGACA